GAGCCACATTTACTGGAGGAGGAACTTGGTTTACATGTTAAAATGCACCTTGCTATTGAGATCCTGCTGTGGATGGCTGAGCAAGCACTGACTTGGGCTGATGGACATTGCCTCAGACCGCTTTGCTGAGAGTCCTTTCTCTGCCTGTTTTCATGCCTATTTTCAGCTGTTGCCACACTGCCTGTTTATTTCAGCCTGTTGTTACCAGGGCTGTGGCCTTCCTGCTCCTGAAGAAGCATCCAAACACCAGCAGAGAGCAAAAACATGCAGCAAAGGCATTTTTTTTCTTCTCCTTAAACTCTCAGGCCTGCAGGATAGATTTTGTTTCAATTGCATCTTTATAAATAACTTTCTATTTTGCACTCACCTGCTCGTTTTCTGTCCTAGTTGGAATCGATATCACCGATAATTGTCTGTCAGAGCGTTTATGTATCACTGGAAGGTGACTAACAAGGAAAAGTATTTTTATATATTTTTTTTTCAGACCACTTGAAGTGAATTAACTAAACACGAGTGATGGCAGATTGGTGAAGACTAGGTACTAATTTTTACCCACGAATAAATGCATTCCTACAAGGAGAAGCAATCAGAGTGTTCCTGATAGCTCCAACAGCCCCAGGAGGAAGGTCACTCTATGGGACTGTGGCCTCTCTTCCTGAGCCATCCTGCCTGATGGACATCTCCACAGTGGCTGCCACACCCCTGGCTGCTCCTGGAATGCCTCCACGTGGTCCTGCACCACCCCTCCTCATCCTCCACCCAGCCCGAGTATTTTCCTGTCTGACCTTCATATCTGACCCCTACTCTCTGTTTGGAAAGTTTTCTCTGTCAGTCAAAGGGACTGTCACTGGATCTGCTCCTAGAAGGATGAATGAATACCTTGAATCAAAATGTATGCTTTACTGGTGAGCCCTCCTGCCTCTTCTTTTATTTCTTCCACCTTCCCCTTACACTGGTATTAAATGCCCTCTTGAGCTTCTTCGTAGCCAGAAGCAGCCAACTTATTCCTTGTTTGTACAGCACCAAGTGCTCTGGAGCACTGCAGGGATGTCATCTTTTTTGGCATGTGAGCTATAGACACCTCAAATATTAGCACACACAAAACCCTGGATAAGTCTTTTTGCTGAAGCTTTTTCAAGCAGCTCCACATGGTTGCTCAAGGAAGAGAATCAGCCAAGATGCCCAGCTTGCTTTGGAGGCTGAAGGGCAGCAGCTAATGAACAGCACCACACAGCAGCCCTCCCCCTGCTAACCCAGAGGGCTGAGTTGTGCTTCTGGACATCCCCTGCTCTGCTCTCCCACATGGCCTCTCCCCAGGATGCTCAGGGCGAGCCTTTTGTCCAGCCCTGGCGTTCTGGTGCCAGCACGCTGGGATCCTGGAGCAGGAGTTGGGCCTCCATTTGCTCTGTGCCTGGTGTGCTGCATGGCCCTGGTTACATCAAACCTGTCACTCCTGTCCTCTGTCATCTTTTGTGTGGAGCACAAGCCTTGTGCAAGTGAAGAAGCATGATAATCAGTGATAAATAAATCATAAGAAGTTCATCTATGAAGAACTTCTCCCATTCTCTTCTTTACAGTTACTGTGACTCCATCCAATAAAATAACATTTTTTAAAGCACAGGCAATAATTTACACTGGTGTAAAACAGAAATGCTGCTCCTACCCCAGAGGGTTTACCCTACATTTCATACTCTTGTTTGCAAACATGAAGCTAAGGTCCCCAGAAAAAAGGTTTGTAGCTTAGGGAGGGAATCAGCTGGAAGCAGGAGATGGCATGGCTTTCTGGGACCATACAGGAGATCAGTAGCAGAGCCAGGTTTGTGTTTCCCAAACTCATGCTCTGCTGTTAACACACACAGCATTGTGTGTGTTTGCCAGCTTGCAAATGACCCAAATGACAGCTGGTGGCCCTGAGCTGTGACAGCCTGCTCAGGGTCTAGATCCCAGCATGACATTTGTCAGGTCTGAGCACTTGGTCCATGATGGGTCCATTCCTGCTCTTTCTTCTCCTCTCTCAAGGTATCTTGGGGCTGGTTTTCTCATGTGAGCTTTACCTCTCATGGTGCTCAGGGCCACACAGGCCATTTGCTCTACGTGTGGGAGCAAATATTCATCATGGGAGCAAATAGCCATCAGCAGTGAATCTCCTGATCCCAGAGGATGACCTTCAGGTCCTCCCATCATCATCTAGTGGTGTGGCCAAGTGCCAGCCTCCCCTGGCCATGGTGCTGCTGGTGGGGGCACAAGGGGATTTTGGATGTAGGCTGTAGCTGTCATAGAGAAGAAGAGGAGGGAGAAGAAAAGCATTTCCATGGGTTTTTTTTCACTTTTCTTGTTGATTTTTCTGTTTTACTTGCTCTGGTTTCTTATGATGGAGAAACACAACATGTGTGGCCCACTAAATCTGGGAAAACCACATCAGTTCCAAAGCAGGGAAGGCCAGAAGACTGGGATCAACCCACTCCTTGCAGATGACGTGGCCATGCTCAGGCATTCACTGGAGCAGAAGGTGAGCTTGGGCTGCTTGTGGCTCCCAGATTGCTGATGCACCACTGAACAGGACAGATGCTTGTAGGGGTGGGGAGTGAAATTCAGAGGAGGGCTGGATTCCATTCCCTGGAATGTGAGGCTTGGGGCTGTGCTGCCACAGCTGGCTCCAGAAGAGGCAGGTTTCCCAGAACCCACACATTCCCCCTGCTTGCACAATGCCTTGGGGGTGTGTTTGCTTGAAGAGTCCTCAGCCCCTTCGGTGCTGCTTTGCACAGGCACTTGTGCTCTTGGTAGAGGAGCCCTCACAGTGCCCCCGGCCCCACACTGCCTCCAGAGGTGAGGAATAGGGCCGCTCCCGAGTGCTAGGGACACAAAAGGTCACTCTGGCTCACGTGGAGGCTGATCTTATGATTTAAGGCAGGAGGGGGTAATTCAGTGTTTTCGACTGTGCTTCTTCATCCAGCACAGTGTGGGTGGTTTGGTTTGTTTCTTAACTCCCCTCTGGGGCTCCACCAGTGAGGGCACCCCTGGGAGGACGAGGTGCAGCTGGTGGTGACAGGGGCTTGCAGGATGATGACTCCTCCTGGGAAAGTGAGCAGAATCCCTCCAGCCAGCCGGGATGCCCAGGTGCAAGGTGAACTGCTGGGATGCAATCCTGGCACGGTACAGAGGGAAAACCTCTGCCAGCAGCCCCCATCACCTTCCATGGCCTTTGGCAGTCTCCAGTAAAAACAGCTGCTGTCTTCTGTGCTGTGCATGCAGCCAGGCGGCTGCCTGCACCAGCTGGGAAGTGGGGCTTTCTTTTTCAGTTTATTGCGTGGCATCTATTTTAGCAAGTAGCTGCTCTCGAGAGGTTTTGCTCATGGAAACACCTGCCCACTGCTGTGCTTGCCCCAGCCAGTCCCTGGGCTGTGCAGGCAGCCGGTGCTCCTACCCTGTGCCCCTGGCTGGCAGAGTTTGTGTCTCCCCACAAAGCCCACAGCCCTCAGTCCATCACTAAATTCGCCATGATTCAAAACTGGATCTTCCTGTGTCACTGCAGGGGGTCAGCTGGGCCCTCTGCCTTCTTTAGGGGCATTTAAACTGAAACTTGTTTGGAAAAAGGGATTCACATCTTTCCCAGAGCCCGTAAAATGAGCAGCTCCAGACTGCAGGTGCCAGGGTGGGCTTAGCCTTGCTTCAGCTGCGTTAGAGCTTTTATAATGTAGGTCCAGACACCCCACAAAGGGGCCTCCAAAGTGGAGCTGTGTTCTAAAGAGAGATAGCAACACACTCTCACAGCTGTGGAAGCAGCAAGCATGCTATGGGGGAACTTGTTCTGGTCTGGGGGAAGTTCATGTCCAGCCTCCTTTCTCCGTTGCACCTTGGAGCTCCAGCCTGTGACTCCACACATTTTTCAAGAAAGAAATATTGATTGTGGGAATGATGGAGCAGGCACTTCAGTAGCGCTGCCCCACATACTGCCAGCCCCCCATCAGCCCTCAACATAGACAGGAAAGGAGATCTGGGAGTTAAGGGGTTCTGATGCTTTCATTTTCAGAGTCAATCAGCAATTCTGGCTGTCTTTATTTGGGGTTCACCTCAGGACAGCTTCAGCAGATCTGGCTTGCAGAGGCTGCAGAGCCCTCCTGCTCTGAGAGTTAAGGCCTTTTCAGGCTTTTCAGGTGTGGAAAAAGAGAGTGGGTGGCTCTGCCGTTGCTGAAAAACGCAGTCCAGGAACACAGCTGTGTGTGCTCCCTCGAGGCTCTCCCTGCTGCAGTTGGCCTCATCCTCCTGCTGCTGGCTCAGCAGCATCCCCCCCCGAAACCAAGAGCTGCCATGGTCCACAAGCAGTGACAGAACAGGTTCTGTGTGTCACAGCTGTCCCTCTGTCCTCTGTGAGATGTGTTCAGGCCAGGGCTGGGACGGGTGGCTGCAGCATTAAACCCAGTCTGAGGTGGTCAGGGAACCAGCTAAGCACCCTGTGAAGAGACCTTGGTATCTGAAAACTTATAATCAAGTTTCTCCTGCTCCCATACTCTTCAGGCATGGAGTCTGGTGGGAAGAGTGCCATGGGAGAGCAGAGGAACAATGATGGTACTTCCCATGGTCAGTCATTTTCTCACTACTTCTTTAACAAGCTCTCCCAAATCCTCTCTCATTAGACCAGCACCCAGACAAAGGCTGGAGGACATTAAGCATCCCTTTCATGGAGGCAGCAGCCCCTCCATGGGTGGCAGGTCCTGCCTCTCACCTAACTTTCCTCCTGGAGAGCCTGCTTCCCTCCTGGCAGCCTGCCCAGGCACTGCCACAGCTCAGGGATGGGAGACAGAACATTCAGAGTTGGAAGGGACCCACCAGGATCATCCAGTCCAGGTTTCTGGCACCCACCATCCCCACTGTGACCCTGTGCCACCCATGTGTCACCGTCCCACGGGCCGCTTGCCCGAGACATGCTCGCAACAACTGGTCTGTGCCCTTTTGCCTCTGAAAACAAAGCTGTGGGTGATGGTGAGAAGCGGTGAGATGGAGGGAAGGAGTGCAGGACTTCGACTTGCCTCTCGCTGTCTCTCTGGCTGCTGGGTCGAGCTGTTTGCTCAGCCAGCCCTGGGATGGTGCAAACCAGCCTGGCTGCCAATTGACGTCAGAGGAGCGCTGGTGGTTTGCACGAGCTCAGGGACTGCCTCTGCTCAAGGTGGGTTTCCAACACCACACAAATCCCCCCGCTTCCCCTCCCTCTGCTCCAGGAAACAAGTGCCTTATTTCATTCATTGGCTGGTTTGGTTATGGCACGAATCCTGCCCATATTTTGGCTACTTGGATGTTTGCTGAGGACCGAGCAGCACAGATAATACCAGCAAAGAGCAGGGCAGTGAGAAAAGAGGGGGGAAATAGGGTGAAGCCAAGTTTAATCTCCTCTGCCTCAGTTTGTGCCACATGTTTGCAGACAGGACAAAAGCCATGTATTTTTTTCTTCTCACATCGCCTGCAATGTTTTTGAGTCTTGTGAAAAAGCGAGATGCTGAGTTCCTGCCATCCTTCTTCTCTTCCTCTTCAAATCACTGTGTGTGAAATGTGTCTGGGCTGAGGGAGTTCGTTTGAACTGGGTGCATTTCCTCTCGACTGCTCAAGTTTTCCTTCAGCCACTTTATTTTTATTTTGTGTTATGCTGATTAGCTGCAACCCCCCTGTTTTCACTTGCCTCCATATGGATTTGACAGTGACAATGTCAGTACATTTTCCCTAAGCCCAGACCAATGTATTTAACTGCAACATATCTTTCCAAACCCAGAGTGATTCCTATGGGGTGTGCTCGGAGAAGTCAATGCATTAACTTCCATCAGCTTTGGGTCAGGCCTGTGCTCTTGAATCAGTCCTTATGTGTTGCTGCCAATCTCTTTAAGATTGTCCAAAACAAACACACTTTGGGTGAGATCAGTGCACAGACCATCACGTGAAAAGCTCTGTGATAACAACTGACTGCGTGTTTGCTTTCATATGGCATTGACTCTTATTTCCCTGATTATTTTTAGTCTTCGAGGCTGTTCCTTAATCAACCCACTTTCTTTAATAGCTAGTGTTGACTCGAGTGTGCTGCAGCAGGGCTAATCATGCTTTGTATTAAGGATGGGAATTATTGGTTAGCCCACAGCTAGAAGCAAATGACAATGTATTTCCTACATGGGCTGATCCACCACTGAATGAAGTTTTTCATCCATTTCAGAGGCCTTGAATCAGGTTCTTATACAGTCACCAGAAGAAAAACCCCATCAAGCTCCAAACCAGCCCAAACCAACACATTCCTTTTAGTGGAAAAGCCTTAGAGCAAAATGTGCCTTGCTCAGACAAAGACAAATCAACAAAATCTTTATTCCTCTTCTACTCTACCTCCTTTTTTTCCTCAGAGGGTGAGGATTTGTGGCCCTGAAACTGTCCAAAAATGAGGAGCAGAGCTCCAGCTGGAGTGAATGGCATTCCCATACTTAAGAGAGGAGGTGAGAGGGAGAAGACACACCCCCAGCAGGTTGATTTTAAAGAGTACAAAAGACTTTGAAGTGGTTTGGAAATGTGGGATATTGCAGTAAATTCATGAGGAGGTGAGTTACATGGAACATGCCACCAGGTTTTGTATTTTGACATGCAGGGACTGCTTGCATGGAGCCCACAGACTCGGTGCCTTTTGCAGGGCTGGAGGAGGATGTGCCGGGAAAAGCCCCATGTCTCTGGAAAATGGAGAAGCAAGAGAATGACTGAAACCTGGGTGGAGCAAGTGAGGAAAGTATTTTAAATATTAAGTGGAGATGCAACTCTTGTAAATTCAGGAGTGAAGACTTGCCAGCTGAGATCCTAGAATTTCCTTTTGTGGAATCTGGAAACAGTAACCTTAAACAAATACATATGGATATATGAGTACAGCACATAAACTGCCCTTCCCCGTAACCCAGTCCAATCAGGTTGCAAAATTTAATTCCTCTGGTGACAGCAAAATCTGTCAGCAAGAAACCTGGCTGGCTGGGTCCCCACCTGATGCAGTCCAGGAGACTTGGACGAGTCAGAAGGACCCTATGAACAAATATACTAACTTTCATGTTCCTGACCTAGCAACACCTTGGATCATGAAAACCCAAAGTGTTTAGGGTACCTGATTTATGGTGGTTTATTTTCTGTACTGCTTCACTGTTTCTCAGCATGTCAGCAGCAAAATGGGATGGGAGGCTTTTGTTTTTCCCTCAGCTCCCCTTAGTTCCCCATGTGTGATTGCTGCTTGCCTGTCTGGATTTGCAAGGTGGAAGGGAAAGTGTAAATGTCTATTTTCTTTTCTTTTCAGTGTGATTGTTCCCTAAACTATCCCACCAAATCCCTGGTGACCGGTATAGTCTATATAAACAGGAATAGCTGCGGGGCTTGGTTGACTTGGGCGCATTATGGATCTGGGCCACCAGCTTCCCCTGCCCTCCCTGGCTCAGCACTGGCAGCTGTGGAGCTGGAAGGAAATGTCCCAAAAAAAGACATAAGGGTGCCTTTCACACCCCCCTGCATGGGTGCAGAGCTACAGCTCCAGTGCAGATGCTTCCAGCCAGCCCGATGGAGGACAGATCAGGGAAAGGCTTCCTCTCATCACAGCTTTGGTAAAAGAGAAATCCCACACTGAAGTGAGGAAAAATCCCTCTTCAGTTGGCTTTGGGCCAGTTAAAAAGTTCTCTTGACACAGACAGGAGAGTGAAGTGGGGTTGGATTTTAAAAACCCTGCCTTGCTCAAACATCTCATTCCAGGACAATCAGGGCTCTTGAAGCCGAGGGCTGCCTTAATCAGTGTCGCTCTCCACATCTCCCATAACTTGAGGTCAGCCCAGTGCTTGTCATTCATAATCCATCTGACTGAAGGAGAGGTGTGTATTCAAACCACTGGTTATTCTCCCAGCTCAGACTGGGCTCCTGCTCACATTTGGTGGCTGGATCTCGGGTGTCCATGCCAGGCAGGAATGCCTGGGTGCATCTGGGTGAAGCAGGAGGTCACTTGTGAGCTTTGGTGGGTCTCAGCTCCACACTCTCTCTGCAGCCAGTCACTGTAAGCTGGCCTTAGTGGCTGTGCTCTAATGTAAAGATGATAAGTTATGGAGTGGGAAAGCATTGTGGTAACAAATTAAATGGCCTGTACCTTCTTTAAAAAGAAAGGAAAAAGAAAATCCCCAGCTCCCCGCCTAACAAGTTGGAAATTTAGGTGAGCCTTTCAACTGTTTGCTTAGACAAAGATATGGAAACCAGGTACCAAAACCAAAAGTAAAATGTACCCCAGCCTTTGCAGATGTAATCATTGTTTATAATTGACTACAGAGGCAATTTAGCAGAGGATAAATGCTATTGAGTAGTGATTACAGGAGGCAGGAGTGGTGACTGGGAGGAGGAACTGCAGAAACCTGAGATGAGCCAGCCCAAAATTCATCTTCTTGGATGAGGTAGCTACAGGTGCTACAGTCCGTGTGCAGATGAACTCGGGAAGATGCCGGCTGATGGTCCGGCACTGCCTGACGTGACACAGGACAGGGCTCTCACACTCCTCAGAACAGCTTGGCTCAGCCTTGGGATTCATGTTACAGGCCAGCAACGGGAGACATCCCCGACTTCAGCTGCCTGAGCCCGGCAGGGAGTGGCGGGTCCCCGGTGCCTGCCGTGCCACCCGGAGCCTTAAGGAGGCTTCGAGCTTCGGGACTGAGCTGCGGTTGTTCCTCTGCACCTCCCTCGAATCCCCCTAAGCCAACACCCTTCGCTAAGACCGAAAAACATTTTCCAGACGCAAGCATGTGTACGTGTGTGGGTGGGTGGGGTGCAGGGAACTATGAAAATTTCAAGGGGAGGTATGACATCCTGGCTTTCTAAATATAGAGGACCTGAGCTGCAGCTCCTCACACCCTACCAGCGTGCTTTCTCTTTCAAAAGGCCCCCCGAAGCAAATACTGCACTGGCTGGTAGCGTGGAAAAAAAAAAACAAAACAAAACAAAACAAACACAACCTAGAAAAAAATTAGTCCTGGGAGCTGATTGCAGTTCCCCGCGCTCTGGAGCAGAGTTGTTGTTTGGGCAGAGCTCCAGGCGGTGCCCACGCGGAGTGGCCAGGCCAGCGCGGCGCAGATGGCACAGACGGCACAGATGGCCGTCACGGGAAGGCCGTGGTGGCACCAGTGGGCTGGTGGCGGCCCCAGTGTGGGGCCAGGACCCGGCAGCGCTTCCCCTTTGCCCACCAGCCCCTGTCCCTCCAGGGGCATCAGGGGAGGGAGAGAGGAGCAAACCCTGGCGGGGGTGAGAATGTGACATTTTGGCTCGGCGTGAGGCGCCGCGTCTCGGTTCCCTTTTCGCTGCCGTTACTGTTGCTCCAGTATTTGCATAGCACAACGCCAAGGCGCCTCAGAGCCAGGGGAGAGAGGTAGCTGCTGCTTCTCCTTTTAAAAAAGCAAGCAGTTATCCATGCGACACCATCACTCTCTGCGTGTGCTCAGGTTGGAGGAGGAGGCGTGACACCGGGGGGTTGTGGCCTTTGGAAAAGTTCTGCAGGGCTGAATTTAATCGAGACTGAGGATCTTTAAGCCAAGCTATGAAATCCAGCAGAGAGTTACATCCCAGTAATAGACCCTGTTAGAGGGTCTAGCACCGTCTATAGAAAGGATCTCCTCTCTATTAAATTCTCTAGGGCTTGAGTTCCCATTTACACAAAGGGCCCTTTTAGCTGTGTAAAATGGCCATAAAGTAGGTGTAAAAATGATTGATGCCATCTTTACAACCCCTTTGCACTGGGAAAATGGTGTAAAGTGGCCAGGGTGCAAATGAGAATCACACCTGGGTTTGTGAGAGTAAATTACATCAAGCCCTTCACAAATTCCGTGTGTTCATAGAGGTTTAATCCTACCCCTTTCTGTGGAATTCACCTAGAAAATAAATTTCCAAGGCTTAAAAAAAACGTTTTCTTCTTCAACACCTCTGTCTTTTCCAAGTCCTTTTAGTCCCAGTCTTTCTCCTGGTGCAGTCTATGTGGACTCTGACACCAGGAAAAGGCTGGGAGGTGTCTGGATATGCTGTGAAAATCCTTTAATTAATACTTTCCAAAATATTTGATCCAAGCAAAATATATGTTGCAATACAATACCTAGGGGAAAACCAGTTCCAAAAGCTCCCTTGTCCATTTCCCCATTCCTCCTGTTTTGATTTTATGCTCTTGGGATACATATAAAGAGGAAATAAAGAAGTTAATCTTTGCTAGATCAAAATGCCCCACATTTATTCATTAAGCATATAAAACGCCAACAGAATACATGCTTTCTTCCAGAGCAAAGGGTTAACTTGCATCGTGCTGATTAGTGAACCCATGGAGGGAGTGCTGATATGGAGGTGCACAGACTGTTAAGTGGAGCAGCCTCTTTTATCCACATCTCCCTTCTCTCCCCCATCCCCCCGCTGAAGGCATTTGCAGTGGCTCTGGGATCATCTCCGCGGTGTCTTCTGTGCCCCAGAACAGTCTCAGCAAATTTAAGCCCAGAGGTGAGCAGGCAAAGATCAGGAGAGGTGAGCCCAGCCTCTCTGGGAGCCCAGCACCTGGGAGGTGGTGGGAGACAGGGAGTGAAAACGTGGGTGAGACAGAGGTCAAAGGATTAAGGGGACAAAAGGCCGGCTCTGGTGGAAATGCCACTGGGCCAGGGCTGACCAGCCGTCTGCCACAACAGCTTGGGCTGCCAGCCTGCACTGAGCACAGCCTCAGCTACAGTGCTGCACACCAAGCTGTGTTGTGAACATAAGGCACATTTGGGATGGGCAAGGGTGGGAAGCATGCCCTGCTCTGCCAGCAGAGCCTTTCCCTTGCTTTGCCAGACACCGGGGCGGAGTGCACAGTGGTGGTGGTGGGGGGGAGCCCCAAAGCTCAGTTGCCATTCAGCCTCCCTTTGATCCCTTTCTTGTTATCTTCTTTGGGATGAGAAGCACCCACATCTTTGGCTGGAGGGAGGTGCAGGTGCACCAAGGGTTGTGTAGGTGGGAAGGTATATCCTCCGCACTACGCTTCCACAGAGAGCAAGGCTGGAGTCGTGTGAGGGATAGGGGACAAACCAACACCCGAGTACAAGCAGCAGGTGAGAGCCTACCCTATGTACCCATCTCATACAGGAGGTTGGTCCTGGCACAGGTCCACAAGGGCTGTGCTGGCAGCACGTCCCACCAGAGCTGTGGTAGATGGGCTGGTTCCTGTGATATCCCATGTGGATGACCCCACCGATGCTGGCACACGAGTCTTGCATCACCAACCCACCTGCAGGCTCCACTGCTTGCCCTGAGCATGCCTGGGAGCCAGGCTGAGGACTTCAGATGGGTGGCGATGTGCAGGCACCCTTGCAAATGTGCCCTGCAGTCAGGCTTATGAGTGATTGTTACTTTTAGGCACATAAAAAAAGAGCATTTGGAAGCTGATCTCAAAAACCTTCATCTTCTGAAGCTCCTGGCTTTGAGGCTGGCAGAGAGCACCTTGGTGATGATGTGTCTACTCTAGAAGCACTTTCCATGACAGAAACTAGAGCCCACACATCCAACAGTGTTCCAGGTGAGACTTTACACTGTGATCTTCTGCCCCTGGAGGTATGGTGGTCTATCCCTGGGATGATGTGTGATCACCATATGGAAGAGAGTTTTTGGGTAGGATTAGAGCTCCTTAGACAACTAGGTTTTGCCAGACAACTGGATTTTCAACTTCCTGATGGCTATTTTTGCTGCAGAAACAGAAAGTTTTTTTCTCCTTTGAAGTTTTATATAATTTTCATTTTCTTTCTCCTTGCTAATGATTATGGTACAGTTTTTCTGGCGTGTGATTGCTCCACCCCACCTCAGAGATACCCTTGCTCCAGCCAGGAT